TCTGGTGGAAAGCCAGGGTTAGAGCTAGGGGAGACGCTTTAGCATATCATGAGCTCCGCTTCCTACCAGTATGTAAACCTTTTTTTTTTCTTCTTCTTGATAGTACTGGGCAGGCAAAATATCTGACTTACAGCCGTGCGATATGTTCACCCATGAGAACAACTAGATGAGCTTTCGACGAGCCATTGGCGGACAAGCAGAGCTTCCCATCATTTGGTTCTCTATAAGGGCTCCTGGTTGCAACCCAATCACAAGTTTGTTCGAAACACAAGGCTGATGTGAAGGTAGGATCAAACAGTTTCTGCGTACAAAGAGCCAAAGACTACCTTCAATGATTGCGGACCATCCGTCGCTTGCACATTCTAACGGGGTCAAGTTCAACTTCAAAAACGATGGCGAGCCCTTGTCTCTTTGTTCACAGGGACCCTAGAAGGGTGGAGTCCATATTGCTTCTTTTGTCTGTCTCATCTCTGCTCATTGGCCCTTTGTGGTGGCGGAGTGCATGGGATTTCCCCGCTTGTCATGGATGGTTGTTAGGCCGTGCACCTTATCCTCGAGTAAGCCTGCTCGTTCCTAGCTTCTTGTATCCTTGTCAACAGTTGCTGTATCAGACGAAGAAGCTTGCAGCTGTCGACGTAATGAGTTGCAGCAGATATCCCGAGTCAAATGCGTGAAAATCACTCGATACTAACCTTGGTCAGCATACCCAACCAGGTATGTGCGTATGAGGCTCATGGCTGTCTGACCAATCAGAGGCTATGTATCGTTATAGAAAGGAAGAAGCTCACCATGACCCCCCTGGCCACTGGAACAGCGATTACGCAAATGTCCTGGCAGGCCCCTCGACCTTTTGTGGAAGAACTCCGTATACTCCGTATTCTTTTTACGTCTGTTATGACAGATCTCCCATCAGATCTCACTTCCTCTGCCTTGGTTGGTGTCTCTGCTAGGCTTTTTCAGGACTCGCATCCGTCAATCAAAAGACCTCAATGACCGGGTCCCAGTCGTGCTTACCCCGCCAATGACATCTGGTCTTGTCAACAAGACTACCCCTTGCTTTTTGGGTCATACAAGCCTGAGTCGCTCATAAATACAAGCGACAAGTAACGAGCCAGCTTCTCAAGAAAGATGCATAGTGTCTCACTCAACCTTTTTAGGTTCCACAGAAGTCAGTGGTAGAGTGGCTAGCTGGCTCGGCCATGAGAGGCAAAAAAGGGACCTTTGTGCACAGCATCCAACTTATTTATCCACGCTCCCTTCATAATCCCTTGTGCTAGCCCTTACCTCAAATGATGTGTCTGAACTTTAATTTCATGAGAGTCGGTTTTCATATGTTCTGTTGTTCCCTTGTTGATGGTACTGGATTTCTGTCCTACTCAACCTATTCGTCAGCTGTGTTCAGCTTGTCAGACCTCTTGAAGGCTTGCCACTGTCTGTTGTAAGACTTAGAAGCCACAGGTCCAGGCGCACGATGGACAAACAAGATTATGAACGTACTGGGTCGAAACCCTTTCAGTGTGTTGTTTAAGAGGCCTGGTTGGGTAATACTTTCCTTCCTACGTTCTTAGTTATGCAATTGATCAGACTGAAATAACCTCGATAGTATGCACAAAATATGCCTAATGACTGACTAAGGTATTCACGATATTGGTGCTTTTTGGTCTTCATATGCCGGAACAGCTGGAGCAGCAATCTGAAATCCAAGACATTCCATCATTGCATAAATGAGAACTCATTGGGTAGGGTAGTAAAACTTGACTTGGCTGAACATCTCACTTCACATTGTCATATAACAGGTCTGGTGGAATCACTTCATCAGCGACCCAGGGCAACTGCGGGAGTGTCACTTAATTGCGAATCATCTTTGCGTGACATTTGCTTGTGTGACTTCACTTTGCCAGTTCCTAAATTATTCCTTGGATCGGTGCTGGCCTTCCAATCGACTGGTCAGGACATGCCTGTCAAAAGCAGAGCTAAGGGCTGCTTTTTTAGCAGAGCAGTAACAGACCCGACAGAAAGGAAATGCTAGATTGACGGGAGCCCAGAATCCGATCGCTACAGCAATGTAACCCAGTTCCGGCAGCTGCAGCTGTACATGTACCTATACGGCGTTATATCAGACAGGTAATTTTACAGTTCCAGATTGTAGGGGCGAGATGCAGATTTAGGAGGCTGACTCGAAATCATGCGAGAGTCCTTGCTAAGTTAGAGCAAGAGTAAATCCAGACTCCTCCAGTTTTGCTCCGATACGCGACTCACCCGAGTCTCAGCAAATCACTCTTGTCCTCCTGTATGTGCGGAAGAAAATCCTTCACCTTCCTCCCTTGCTTCATGCATGCTTCCAGAAAGGTGAAGGGCAAGAATAAATAGTGACTGAGCTCCATCTTTCTCGCTCACGTCAAGCCCCGATAATCTCCACAATCCGTTCCGCCGTTAACCACGCGGATCTAGTCCGGCCACGCGAGACGGGAGTGGCAATGGCACGAAAAACTAAACAAAAGCACAGAAAAACATGCGTGTGCGCTACTGTAAGAGCATCGTCTCTCGACCAACAGTTTCTTGAGGGTATGCAATGCCTCGCATATGCATACATGATGCCTCCTTGTTGTCTCTCGTTGTTGTCGCAAGAACGATGACGGCCTAGACACTCTAATATCGCAGTATCATCGCTGCCGCAGGAACCCGGAGCGCCACAGCTTGAGACATTGTAAGATTTGTTGTTGACTGTCAAGTTTGACGTCGGGTTCACCGCTGTCTTGACTCTGCAAGAACTTCATTTACTTTTGTTCCTTGTTTTGCTGCTCCTGCAGGCTGACACTTTTTCTGGTTCTTCTACTGGGTAGGACTAGGAACTTCACATTGGTCCCATCCATTCATTGTGCGCTGGACGGTCTTGTCTCGCTGGTTCTTAATTCGGACAAAGCATTACACTGACTCATAAACGCAACGGAGATCGCTATGAAAGTCATGGGACTACCTTTTCTTAAAGAGGCTCGTATATATAGTGTCGGGAGCATTATACATGTTTGGGTGAGGAGGATCACCAGTTTCTATCCAGGTTGACTAAACTTTCAGGAAACCGCCCACATAATTCCCCATCCTTTGACATATATGATTGTAGCAAGCCCATGGTATTAATAGATCTAAACCACACAGATATTAACACCTTCACTTAGCAAATCTAACCACAAGCCACCGCATAGGAAGACCTTTGTATCTAACAAGGGAGACAACTTAGCTTTATATAAGTCAAGTATGAACAACAATTATCTTATTTACTCTTAGAATCTATTCTCAATATTGTATCATGCAATAGTCAAGAGACTGACATACTATCCATAACGTTAGGGAATGCAACAGTGCAATAATCGCTCGCAACTAGGGTGTCCAGCCATCAGTAGACAGAGAAGTTGGCCATAATAACTAGCAAAACTCAAGTAAAGCAGTCAAATATAAAGTCTGGGTGAGTTAATATCTGGTGATGGCCGCCGGAAAGAAGGGTATCATGTTTGAGATAACTGGTCGAAGCCATAACTGGGCGATCTCTAACATGTATATCATCTAGGGACCTTATATAACTGGTAACGGCGACAACAGCAAAGTACAAGCCAACTAAGCATAACCTTGACTGATATCAATGTAAAGACACATGTTAAAGCAACAGGTCACAGAGTTTGACACCAGGGGTCAAAGCTACGATTGGTTTGGCGGCGACAACGTGTAGCACATAAATCGATCAATCTACTTGACCACGAAGCGACATCGGTAACTCTTATGACGATGCATTCTCCCTTCTAGGCTCGCCTCGGCACACAGATTACTTGGCCAATTTTAACATAAAGCGATGCAGGTGACTTCTTCGATGCCTCTAAGCCAACAAGAAGGCTTATGGTGCTGTATCACAATTTTCTGGGGATGGCAGTGGCAATTTCCTTTCAATTCTGATAGAAAAGGCGCCCTTGTATAATCCAACAAGAGAGTTGCAACTGTTTACTTGCGACAATGTGTCTGTAGTTCATCAAGCAGGAAGACACCATGCTTAGAATGACTGGCTGAGAGATAAAAGCGGCTACAAACTTGAGGGGCCAGTGCGGGCATTTTACTAATCTAATATGAGTTATCCATAGCTTATAATATCATCTGCAGAACTTAATGTCTATAAAGTTAGTAAATGCCATATATCGTAGTCGATATTGTTTATATCTACTGATGGTAATTCCGAACCCAGCCTCGTGCGCTTCGAGGGATAACCGCCTTAACTCTGCTTTGATAAGAAAGTTCGAATGGTAGCCCAGCTTTCCTCGAAGCTCATTGATTGTATATCAAAGGCAGTCCGCGATCGTTGGTGTTGTTCACGTAGAAGGGATAGCAGGAGTAAATGACTAACCCTAGATATCATCTGTTCAATTGACGAACAATGGGAGATCACACAATGAAATCATAATCCCAATCACTCTTGACGATATTATTTATGCAATATCCAACAGGTGTCGTATCTGACAGAACGTTGTGTTTCCCTTTAGCAATCGATCATTTCCAATGAAACCAGCCAGTATGCTAATATCTTAGAAAGCATCAGGGCCACCAAGTTGGTATACCTGCTCAGTTCGCTTTGACGCACTATATCAATTCAGATACCTGGATAATAGCTTATATCATGGACGTCTAGCGAGAGACATGTATAATTCCCCTGGATACTAATTCCCCTTTCCCCTATTATAAATACATATTATATATGTAGTTATGCAAGCTAAGTTACGTGCGTTTAGTCTCTTTATTGGTTAATGAACGAGCAAATTATGAGAACTATAGGCATAATACGAATGATAAGTAATTGTCGTTATTTCTAACAGTGCAGCGCAGTGTTTCAGAGGCCTTCTGAATGGCTTCTTATATATGAAAGACAACATAATTCAAATCCTTTCCGTTTTTTATTTAAATCCAATTTAATCTTCTCTACTGTTCAGGCATATCAGTGGAAGGCGGAATCCCAGTTCCTCATGGCTGAGCATCAAGAAGAGGATTGGGCGTTCAGTTGCTCTGGGCTTGCCTTCAACACAGGCAAACCTGGACGAGCAAAGTCACTCGCCTTCAAAGTTCGACATGGGACCAAGAATTCAAAATTAACCATTGGTTCCTCCATTACGGTGGATACTGAGGTATCTCAGGCTGGTTTTGGCGATGGAGAGGTTAACTCTGGCATGAGAACCACAAGCATGGAAGAGTCATCCTTCGCTGACATGAATGCCGTTTGCAGATCTGTAATAATAGAAAATATCTCGCCCTCGTCGTCGGGGAATGTTTCAGGAAGGATGATGACGAGATTCTCCATGAACACTACTTTAAAAAAACACTCCGCGTGCGACCGTGTTCAAACTTCCGACAGAGAAATCCACGCACATATCGACACCAGAGAGTCTAGATATATTGAGATTGGCCAAAGATGGAAACAAGAGGGGAGATACTTCGCTCCTCAAAACAAACTAAACGGCCTCTGCTAGCTGAAAACTCTCTCTTCTATAAGTCGCCATTTCAAGAAGTGTATGTTTTACTCTGAATTCGTGGTCGGCGAACGACAATCCACGCGGAAGATTCACCGAGCTCATATCCGTGATACGATTACAGCTTCAGATGGTGGTATTCAACTTCTCCAGAACCTTGACGGAGTCTTGAGGGCTGAAGAAGCTGCGCTGAGCACGTCGAACTTGGGAAGACGAGTCCAACCAGAGTTTGAAGAAAGCATCAGGAAGATTCAGCAGCTGGGAGAAGGCAGTATGACTATGGCGGCTGAAACATACTTTGTCCATTAATTAAGGGTAATTACCCTTCGCATCTTTTCATTGATTGTCCTTCGTTGACCAAAAGTAGATCTTCTGGCCTAAGATGATGACCCCATTGATGGAACATATTGTCACACCGAAAGCCATAACTCAGCTTGATACTGGCATCTACAACGGGCCCTGTCTATGGTAATTTCTCCAGCCCTGCCCGCCTCGTCAACCATCGTCGACACTTTCCTCCCTACACTCATCCTGCTGTTATGTGGCAAAGTGTCAACTTCGACCTTCAATGATGACCTATCTTGCTTGCAGATGCCATTCTGCACTCCTATCTAATTGCAGACGCAATCGTTGGCAGCCCGTTCCTGGAAACACGAGTCAATGGTTCTGGTTACCTTGAGGTGCATATCTATCCATTGTGTGAGGAGACAAGGGGTGGCTGTTTACGAGTATAGGAATGGCAGACTGGGAATATGCATCAAGGGGCTTGCTACGTTCGTATTTTGGCGTTCAAACATTTAGGAAAGGGGACTGCTTTAATTTGAACGCCCAAAGAGAGATACAAGCTAGTCTCTAATATCATATCCTTTTACTAAGGTAGTAGGTAGGTTGGTAGGTAGTACAGAACATTTGCTCATTTTTAATAAATCGAGACCTGAGAGAAGACCATAGTCTACCTACATTACTATGGGCAGTTAAATGATATCTATCGGCTAACCACAGTTATCTAAGGTAAGGTAAGGTATCTAACCACTCACCTGATCAACTTTGGGCTACAGGGGCAACACTCGGAATATCCCAGTGATGAAAATGTAATGCAAGGCACCTACCTTAAACTGCTTATGAATTCAGCGGACCGTTCGACTGGCCATTTTTGGTCCCTTGGTGGAAGGTCAAATGCTTTCTTGTTCCGAGGCCAGAGTAATGAAAAGACGGCAAGATCTGTACGCATGAAGTGGTTGCTTTAGGCGCCGCTACCTTTCCCGCCATTGGTTAGATGACGCCAGCCCCGATATAGTAATGACCCCTCCAGCTCGCTTTCTATTGGAGCCCTGGGGCTCAGCGTTTCGGTTCCTGGCTGATTGTCTTTACCACACCGTCATACCTCGTCAACCTTAACCATCACAAGCCATCCATCATGTCGCAGAACACAGTCGTCACTATAGACTCGAAGCGTCACTTCGACTCGGTGCTCAAGTCTTCACGCATAGTCATCGCTGACTGTAAGTAATCTCCCATCAGAACCGACGATCTTTGCGGTAGTTCTAGAGATACCCCGCCATCCCAGTCAACTTATTCTGCGATGCGACGTATCATTCCCTTGTCACAAATGATGATGCCAAAGGCTAACGAGTGATTCTTTCAAGTCTACGCTGACTGGTCTGACACTTCTAACCAGATCGCTCCTATCTACGAAAGATTCGCCAAAGACGTCGCGCAGCCGAATTTCATCACGTTGGTCAAGGTTAACAGCGACAACCAACCAGAGCTTTCGCAAGAGTACAAAATTACAAACCCGCCGACCTTCATTGTTTTTGCAGATGGAAAGCAGGTCGATCAGGTCCAGGGTGCCGATCCTCAGAAACTCAAGGATACGCTCATGAAGATACCCGCCTTGGCGACTTCGCTCAATGAGAAGACCGCCAGAGAAAACGCTGGCTCGGCCAGCGGTGGTCCCAGCTGGAAGGGTATGGAAGCTCCACGAGGCTACAACGACATCACCGACCAAATAGAACTCCGTGATCTGGAGGTTCTCAACGCTGATGAGAGCGCCGGCACTGTTCGAGTTCTCTTCGATGGTTCCAAGCCAAGCGGTCTCGGTAACGGCAAGGGAACCTCCAAGGACTTCGTGCAGAGCGGTGCAGATGACCAGCTGCTTTTGTACATCCCTTTCCAGTCCATTGTCAAACTCCATACTCTCCAGGTCAGTTTATTGGTTCTTCAAGTTGCACCAAGTCCGACACCGACTAACCGCGTATAACAGCTCACTTCCCTCCCTCCCAAGGACGACGAAGACGTGATGAGGCCCGGCAACATTCACCTGTATATCAACCGCACTCATAACCTCGACTTCAACGAAGCCGACGATACTGAACCAACACAGGCTATCGAGATTTCTCCTGAGGATTGGAACGAGGAGGGAACTGTGAGCCTGAGCTTGCGATATGTGAAATTCCAGAAGACATCGAGTCTTGTGATTTACGTTCAGCAGGGTGAGGATGATGGAGAGACTGTTCGTCTCGACAGAGTGAGACTCATTGGAGAAGCTGGAGCAAAGCGAGAGATGGGCAAGCTTCAGAAGGTAGGAGAGGACGAATAAGGTTTCTTTACCAAGGGTCCTGTGGTTCGCAATGGAATACCGGCGAATTTGCATTGTGCCTTAGCATGCATTAAAGCATGATCTCGACAGGGAGCAGGTAATAGGAGTTTTGGAGCAAAAGGCGAACAAGACCGCCCAGTCAGATAGACACAGTTTTAACTCCGCAGTTGAACAGAATTATTGATTCTGTTCTCTCCAACTTTCATGATCGAACGGATTGCCGACGCAAGTATTACACATACATGTCACACGAGAAAAGAAATTTTGATGTCCTGCCTCCCAACCACGACTAAGATGTGTGAAAACACCAAAACCAGACGATGGTAGGGCGGGCCTGCAATTATGATTGATCTGGGGCATAACTGACGCTGCGATTACATCCACGGAAACAAGGATTCGAGCAACACGGGTATAAAAATTTCATGTTATGCCAGCCGCACGAAGAAGAAAAGAAGAAAGGAAAAGCCCTGCTTTGACGACGCGTTCGAGATTTTAAGCCGCTGATTCTGAGCATGGTCCGTGCGTGTTCTACTCGGCTAAAAGTCGTTCCGACCTCCGGGTGGACCAGCTGTAGGGTAACAAAACGTCTGTAGTGCACAGGGTGATCATGATGTGTGCCATATCAACATATTGATGTGTAACCATGATACATCCTCTTGATCCTGTATGATTCGGGTTGTGGTGTGTACATGGATTTTCTGGATGATACGCGCATATGCTCGCTAAACGAGGCTGTGCTTTTTGTTGTTACGGTTAATGATATCAACCACTGCGCACGATCAAGATAACCAGCCACCAAGTCCCCGTCATGTCATGATGAGAATCTGGTGGGCATCATATCAATGACCGGAAAACCGTGGGAATAAACATCATGGGATTCGTCACCATGATTGCTTCCTGCATTGTCTGTCATGATCAACTGATTCGCGCGCGGACACGGGATGGAACCCCGCGATTCGCGCAAAAATGACACTTAAAAGCTTCGTGATCTGCCACTGCGTTTTACGGTATGCCACATATCAACCGGGCCGGAAGATTCGAGCCACATTGGGCTTGTGGAAAAGCGCCGCTATAGATAATGGGGTGATAAATTGTGGCATTCGCTTCAACTCTACTCTAGCATTTTGAGAACGCTCGTCACTCGCACGCCTATAACTCACATATAAGCAATTTCTCGAAGCCTACGGGGTTTAAAGCGAAAAAACTGCCTGTACTGTCCTACAGTGGAGAATATAATCCGCGATGGGCTTTGTTGCTTTCAACAATTTGCCGACCGAGATTCGGTCCATGGTCTGGGCATACGCCCTACCAGAGCCTCGAGTATACGAGATTCTTGACACGCCATTTTCAACGCTCAGGACACCGGCCTCTACAGGGCTCATGTTCTCCAGCAGCTCGAATGATCCCCCCCCTGTACTGGCAGCCGTATGCAGAGAGTCCCGTGCCTTCGTGCTTCATCGCTACCGGCCACTAACACTCTCCGACACAATCAAGTACATCGACCCAAGCCGAGATATAATTCTGCTTCAGCCCTACCTCTTAATCAAAAGGTTATTGAGGACTCTGCATTCTCTCGCAGAGGTGGATTTCATGAAGAGAGACCTGAGCCAAGTGGCATTAGGGACATCATATGGATTCAGCACTGGTATCTACCACCCCATACTAAGCGGCAAAGTATCGAAAAACAACATGAAAACGCTCGTGAAAAAGCTCGCAAGGTTCTCCAAATTGGGGAAAGTTCTATTTGTTGTTCATGAGGGATTCAAGTGTGTCATCTCAAAACCCCACGGAGCGGAGTCGCAACTTGAGCTTCTATCCAGCAGCTTCGTGAAATCCCAAGAAGATGACCTGTCGAGGACCACCTGGCATTTTCGTGGGAACGAGATACAATATTATCCTCTTCACTTTGAAGAAGAGGTGGAAGAGGACGAGCCTGACATAGAGGATGACGACGTGGAGCTGAACCGCAAGCCGACGAACGAGGATTGGCGACGATTTAAACGACGATTCCTGAAGGCTGTATATTCAACACTGATGAGAGAGCTGCAAGAAAAGCCAAGACAAGAGCACCTTCCTTTCCTGATCGAAGGCGCAAGTATCCTATGGAGATATGAAGCATCATAAACGGAATTTCCCAGCGCCACAGGATCATCACTAGGATCTTACGACTCAAGCGTTGGAGTTGCGCCCGTTGTAAAGACGTTAAATGCCGATCATTTGGGCTATTTGAGTCTGGATTCAAGGGAGCAGTCGTTGTGTTGACACTACCTGGACTCCGGGAGCACTGCCATCTTGGTTACTTCGATTTGTGTGTGTGTGTGTGTGTGCGTGTGTGCGGAACAACACATCGACTAATGGCGGCAGATACCCGCACTCACAGACACCTTCTCGGTCAGGCTCTGCAGTGATGTGAGGCGTCCCTAACCTCTTGTGGTCCCAGTACGCGCGACCTGCATTGGCGTCGAGGCTGCCATGAGTTAAAGAGCCTCTGGCAAGTTCCGAGCGAAAAGCTTGGTATTCGGTAGTGGTTGTTGGTGGCGCCCGGCATACGGGTGCACAGACTAGCGGTTCGATTATGGGAATTGTCTGAGTGTATGGCGTTTTCGAGAAGGGACTGTCCCTATTGTGGAAGTTTTGAGAGGACATACAAAACAAGTTTGTCTCGTTGCCCCTCGGTAGATGTTCTCACACATCCTGATCGGGAGTTGGCAGTAGATATGATTGGCCGAGCTACGAATACACTATCTTTTTGCATGGATTGCTTTATGAATTGCCAATAAGAGTTAAGGCGCAAGACGCTGCTGGGGCCATAGTATAGTTTCCACGCATGAAACATGCTGCCAATTCCTCTATGAAATAAAACAATTCTGCTCACACTTCTGAGGCATTCAATGCCAAGTGAACATCCAGAGAACTCTGGTTCAGATTCGACCCCCCGATGATTTCTAGAAGAGGACCCTTAAAGAACAAGGTCAAACTTCAATGGTCAGCGAAGCTAGTTGGCATTGGCTTTCGGTAAGGTCACCGAGCTGGGACTCACCCCTGTTGAAGCGCTTGACTCCAATTGGATTAAATTTACGGTGCGCTCGGACTTATCGATATCTATCATCGAAGAAGTGGATTTAAGCTCATCAAAACGTGCAGTAGGCGCTTCAGTTGACCACTCAAACGATGACGTCTCTTAGCCAACTTCACTAGGCTCATCTCCAAGATGCAGGTTCTTTGCAGTACATAGACGAATAACCACGACAAACACACGTCTCCAGAACTCGATTCGCCTAATACGCGACTATCAAATGGTAACGAGCTTGTTTTCACACCAAACGTGCAGAATGACCGTGGTGTCGTCTACAGTGGCTTGAGCACGGTTGCATTGGCAGCAATAGCCAATATCACGGCGGCCCGACAGTGTTCGGGGCGTATACTAATGAGGTCATCACTGTTGTCATCCGCACAACAATCGCTGCAAAACTTGTAGTGTTACAATTGCCTGCGCAGGCTCTGTGGGTCTCTGCGTGTCAGGAAATATACATGTTACATATTCTCCTCAAAAGGAAAAGGAGGCTGGGCGGATTTAACATGGTCGCTGTTGAGGCTGTCAACTTTGACACCATTTCTGTAGCTCGCACCAGGAACAAGCAGAAAATCCACTGTATTCCAGACCAAAAACACGCAAAATAGACTCCCGACCATAGCCGGAACCAGCCTAGGCCATGCCCAATATGCAGGGAACTAAGCCATCCAATCAGATTGAACCGGCGCCGAACCCTTCTTAACGGGTTCATATGCCGGGCATCGAAGACTAAAGACCACGGAGGAGGCGCATTTGACAAGTTGAGTTCCCGTTCGCCATGCACAGTCAACGGTCCGGCATGCCGTTGCCGATACATTACCGTGAGGCTCTATGCGGAGTTTGTTGTGCTTTCTATTACCACCACTATTGTCGATACTACCGTTACTGTTGCCGTGCAAGCTGAGCAACTCCCACTGGGCTTGCTGACCCCCCCTGGTTCTCCTCTGTTATATCATATCCCCATTCATGATAGGATATCATGTCGTCTCTTCTGCCAGTCTTGGCCCCCCGGCTACCGGGCTGTCCGCCGGCGGTAGATGATAGGACTTACACGAAGGAGCACACAGAGGAGGAGTGGGAGAGTATGCGCAACGTCATCAAGAAGCTGTATATTCAGGAAAATCGAAAGCTGAACGAGACTATGGCAATCCTTCAGGCCAGATATGGTTTCGCAGCAACGTGAGTGGGAACCACGCATGTGGTACCAGCAAGGTCCAAAAACTGATTTGTCTTTCAAAGGGAGCAGATGTTCAAGAAGCGTTTAAAGAAATGGGGCTTAAGAAAACGTACATATCGGAAAGGTCAACCTGGCTCTGCAGCTTCCACTCCTCTGGATACTACTGAATGTTCTGGGACGAGTACATTTGACGAACAAAGCTCATCCTCATCCTCGGCCTCTCCAGAGGAACACCAAGATGATCCAACTACGTCTATGGCTCTGATCCAGCCATCAAACACCGGTCCCTACTCTGATTTAGAGCAGGTTCTTGGAGGCGTCTTCAACTGGAGTCAATCTAAACTAGAAATATTTCCTGTCATGTCAGATCCTATGTCAGAATACTTGGCAACCCCAAACTCCCCCCCTATCCGAGACAGTCGTACAATGTACCGCATCTTCGAGCTTGTTTTCGACCTTTGGTTCCATGGGAAGGGTGACCTTGCTGGTATGGCTGCACGTCGAGGGTTTTACGTGCTCGAATTTGTGTTGAGCGATGATCACCCCGACCTTATCTGGCATGTGCTAGATACAATCTACGATATGGTGGACCGAGGGCATCTTCGGCTTTTGGCCCTTTTCTTGGATCATGCTACAATACTCGCGAAACGACAGCTGCCTGCTCAACACCCGCTCCTCCTTATCCTCCAACAACTTCGTAACTGCGATTATCAAACAGATGAGGGAAGGAAATACTTGTGTCATTTGTTGCGCCAAGCCTGGCTACGGAACGTTAATCTCTTGGGCCAACATATCGAGACGTCGGATGCCCATCGACTCTGGCTTTACGAACAACTAATTTGGGATGGGAGAACACGCCTCCGTAGGGAAAGCGAGCTTGGCAAGCGGCAGGATGCGATGTATCAGGCCCTGGAAAGGATGGCTGAAGCACAGAGTCAGACTTCATCTGCGATCGATGCGGATCAGTTACGAGTCGAAGCATTGCGACTTGAGTTCACACAGATGGATGTTGGTGATAAGAAGAAGGCTGAGGAGCTAGCCATCAATTTACTCGATCTGACCAGAACCGAACAAGGACCCAGATCCAACGATCGATTTCACGCATACGCATGCAAGATGCTGGCTAGAGTACAGGAGTCGAGACAGGAATGGGATACGGCCGAACAGAACCTACGGCATGCCATTTCGAAAAGAGAGGTAGCACACGGTGCGAACAATAACCTACGAGTCATCCGTGATATGTGGGTGCTGGCAGCGCATTATCAGAAAGCTGGTCGACAAGCGGACGCCAACGAGATCACAGCTGATGCGTTATCGAGAGCACAGAGATACTTGGAGCAGGATGTCGAATAGCCATCATCGTCAATGTACCGTTCAGGAGTTATGTATAAAATGGGGTGGTTCGGTACAAAGCTATTAGGTTTTGGGCGTCATGGCATAAGATACAGGGGGGTGTTGAGGATTGGCATATTCATTCATGAGTAATTTCTACGGCAGTTGCTCACCGAGTCAAGTTTCTGGTTTGTCACGAAAGAAAAGCATAGCGATCATTAGGAGTATTTGATATCTTCCTTTGAGAAGACATTGGTTGGAGTTCTAGTTTGAGATACCCAACGCTCCATGAAGCGAATTGAAGTTGAAGAAGTTGATTTAATTGGACCGCCACAGTGACACAGGCACCGCCACAATGACGTTGACACTTCCGCCCTGGGATAGTCGTCGATGGCCTTGATTCAACAACACTCGCATTACATACCAACCTACCATCTGCGCTTTGGCATATCCTCGCGAAGAAAACTGTAGACCTTTCGCTCCTTAGAATCGACTTCAATTTTATTGTCTTTTGTAAAGACCTTTGTATTACATGAACTCATCATGACTGCTGGAGTCCCCCCAAACTACTGTAAGCTGCCATCATGACCGCACTACATGTGAATGCGCCATAGTGAAAACTGACTAGAACTTTCTGTAGATGCCATTCTCGAGGTTTCTGATACTGCGACCACTCAGCAAATCCGAGATGCGTACAAGCGGTATGTCACTTTTGCTTTGTAGTCTCAACTCGCGACACAACTAACCCCGGTAATCAGCGCCGCCCTAAAGACGCACCCTGACCGCGTCTCTAATGACTCCCCAGAGCGAGCCGAACGGACACGGAAATTCCAGCTCGTCAACGACGCCTATTACACACTCTCTGACCCTGCACGCCGTCGCGAGTATGATGCTCAGCGCAAACTCTTCAACACCAGCACCCCTTCGGATCCCTTCGAGGACATTCCCGAGACGGAAACCGAGGGTGGCGCCGCGCCGCGACAGAGCCCTTATTCCTGGGCATGGAACTTCTTTACCAACCAAGGCCAGGCCCCGGCTCAGGATCGTGAGCAAACCGAAGATGCGCAGTTTAGTGATGTGTTCGAGGAGATGATGCGCGACGAGGGCATGGCCGAAGGCAGGGATAACCACCCCACGGGCAAGTTCTGGAGTATGGTGGGTGGTGTCAGCGGCGGCGCTCTAGGGTTCATCGTAGCCAATGTGCCAGGTCTTGTCGCAGGAGCCGTTGCGGGGAACAGACTAGGAGCTGTCCGAGATGCGAAGGGTAAGAGTGTCTACGCTGTCTTTCAGGAGCTTCCCCAGGACGACAAGTCAAGGCTGCTCAGCCAGTTGGCGGCTAAGGTCTTTAGTCATGCCGTTGGTATTTAAGTCGAGAACTTGGAATGAATCAAGGCTGGGTTTATTGGGCGCTCTCGGAGTTGGGCCAGGATCGGCAAGCACACGATTATAATCAGTTGATGGGAGTTGGTCCCCAAGTAGTTTCTCAGGAATACACGTATAGCAATGATATCAAAGATTCACTGCGCGAACCTATATCGTCTCAGAGAGACTTGTATCATATCGCGCAAATAGTAGATCTTATCGGGTTTTGGACTTCAACGGACACGAACTCTCTATATCTTATCATGTGGTTTACACTGTCAAGGATTTGCTGACGGTAACTCGGCCTCGATGCATGTCAATGACAACCAAGAGATGATGGATAATCAGGTTGGATCATATTTTCATGACGTACAGTTTTGTTTTAGTAGGAGAATCAATCCCATTTGTCCAGTTCTCTGTCTGCCTCTGGGCTAATGATGGTTCCTGAGAGTATCGAAGTTTGAAGTGTCAGTACGTAAAGCGCTTTTCTATGCCATGTGCCGTTGCTATCAGAGGCCACGGACTAGGCTAGTAAGACAAAAAGACAAATGACTCAGAAAACCGTGACCAAATTGCCAGTTTCCTGGTTTCATTTGCGGAAGTAGTGCTAGAATATGGATGAGATTCGGAAAATATCCCACTTTTATCTTCAGACAGCGAACTAACTCCAAGGGTCAGGAGAGCATTAAGAAGTTCAGACACTTAGACCTTGTTAGTAACTTGATGTTCATGTTGCCATGCTCATTCAGACTTTCTGTATGGCAAATTTAGCATCTATGGACCATTGACTATGAGTTCTCTTTGGGGGGATTTAGATCAACAAGATATACCAATAGATTCTTCATTGAAGTCTCTTCTATTTGTTTTTAATACCAACGACTCTGGCTTACACATGGCACTGTCCGCAATGAGATATGGCTACTATCTTTCAGACGAAGCGGTGGTCAGTCGAATGACAGTTTATAATTCTACCATCCTTGCGAAATCCTGGACTTCATTACAACCTTCATAGCATTCAGACCAGCACAGTTGAGTAGTTCATAGTTGTTTTGAGCACATAAAGGACTTGGCTTGGGTAAACAAGTGACAGGGACACAAAACAGACCGGCAAAGGCATCCCTCTCAAGCTTGTTCATAATTTGTTGACACGAAATGTACTGTGGTGATTTGACAACACGAACCCCTAGTCTTGGAGCGGCCTATTATCCTATAAAAACAACAAATCACTTCTAGCCCAATACACCATCATGCGCCTCAAGTGCTCCGTACAACGTCTTGGCAATCTTGTTAACATTGATGGAGGACGGTAAAGTGCCATGAGGAAATTCACATACATTTTTGTGCCAAGCTCATAATCCCCACATGTATTCCAACGTGACGTCTTGGTTCGACGAGCAGACAAGACATTCTCAGTCTTAGTTACGATATCGATGCCTCCTCACAGGCTATTAAAAATTTGCCCGAAGTAACCAGTGCCTACATAACCTATCTTCGGGGAGGAGGCTGGAATCCAGGCGGTGGGGGACCACCAGGGTTGAACCCGGGAGGAGGGAATTGAGCGCCTCCAGGGAAACCAGCCGGAGGAGGGAAGTTTCCAGGAAAGCCAGGAGGCGGGGCTTGGAGACTGTTAGAGACTCTTCGAGGATATCGGGACTGTCTGAACTTACCACCACGGCCAGGAAATCCAGGAGCACCAGGGAAACCAGGGAAGCCAGGCGGGGGAGCACCACCAACACCAGCAGCAGGACCCTTATCAATGTTAGCAGCTAACCAGGCAACTTTAGGTGGAAAGAAACACATACTGCGAGGGAGGGAGGTGCAGCTCCTCGTCCAGCAGGACGAGCAACCCCTGGGCCAGCGGCCAAGGCAGAAGGAATTCCACCAGGAGCACTCTTGCCTAGTCGCGCGCTAGGATCGGCGGGAGGAGGCGACTCCACGGACAGGGAGATAATATGAGCGCCTCGAACGATCGTGAGGCCAAGAGTTCGCTTCTCCTCTGACTCGATGGTCTGGGTAGCTGAACCACTTGCGCCGGGGGCAGATGGCTTGTTTTGCTTGCGCTTCACGCGTCGAAACTCTTCCGTATCCGCAAGTACGAGGTTCATGTGCTAAGTCCTAGTCAGCCTTGATCTCAACAATAATGGCTGAAGATGTTGTACCTTGTCGAAGGCAAGCATCTGACCGGTCATTGCCCTTCCATCGTTAAGAGTAACCCGCATCCGCCAGTTGATCTGTTTCGTTCTAGTCAGCTTGATTGAACCGTCGCAAATAGGTAGCATTCGAATCGCATGCGTGTCGGGGTATACGTACGTAACCGGCCTGAGAAAGAGAACTTGTCAGCATATCAAGATCAAGCACGCTGAAAACGCGTAAGAGTAGGGGGCAGACACACCATCTTTCCTTGTTTGTTCGACATGTTGACGGTTTATTGAGAGCGTGCTGGGGCAGTTTCTCTGTGTTTCAAAAATTGATGTTAGATCGCGGTGTATTTGCGCGCGATCGTAACAGCCTTCAATGCCTGGAGCTCTGAAGGTGAGTTATGAGGTCCAAAATCTGCGGAGCCTGATGCGGAAGGCTGAAAGGTACACCGACAAAGTACCGCCTTCGCACTAGGCCACTTCTGACCAAGGTCAGCCCCACTTGGGGCACCAACTAGCTTAACCCTCAAATAATTACGAGCTTCACAAAAACTGAAAAATTACTCTTGCAACCTTCGCGATCTTCGACAACTCCATCACCAGGTCGACTAATAACAGCAGCAATGGCTTCCGAGAAGGCAAACAACCCCATGCGGGAGCTGAAGATTCAGAAGCTCGTTCTGAACATCTCCGTCGGAGAGTCTGGTGACAGACTTACCCGTGCCGCCAAGGTGCTGGAGCAGCTTTCTGGTCAGACCCCCGTCTACAGTAAGTTAGCCAATTTTGAACATGGCGATGCAATTCCATCTGACTGAAATTTTCAAAGGCAAGGCTCGCTACACCGTCCGAACCTTCGGTATCCGACGTAACGAAAAGATTGCTGTCCATGTCACCGTCCGAGGCCCTAAGGTAAATTCACACATGAAGGTTGGAAATGCCAAAGTGCAGAGATGCTAACATCCAAAAGGCCGAGGAGATTCTTGAGCGTGGTCTCAAGGTCAAGGAGTACGAGCTTCGCAAGCGCAACTTCTCCGAGACTGGCAACTTTGGCTTCGGTATCAGCGAGCACATCGATCTTGGTATCAAGTATGACCCCTCCATCGGTATCTACGGCATGGATTTCTACTGCTGCATGACCCGACCTGGTGAGCGCGTCACCCGCCGCCGCCGAACCAAGTCCCGCATCGGTGCCAGCCACCGCATCAAGCGCGAGGAGACCGTCAAGTGGTTCAAGTCTCGCTTCGACGGCATTGTCCGATAAACGGTTGAAAAAAATTGGTTGTTTGAATTTACGGATGGTCACGGCGAACATTAAGGGGAAAACTCACATGGGACATGTATTTTCTGTTGCCTTTGCTGCATCAGCTTGACTTGAAATTTTCAGTCGAGCCACGGCCTGAGAGACCGACCGGCGCTCTGCCGGCTTTCCGATATTCACTATGAATGTGACATTGCCATCAATCGTCAGATCACTGGTACTTTGTCTGCTTGGCCTCTCGTCTGTTTACGTCTACGCGAGACGTTATAAACATGTCCTTCGGGGACTTTGGTCCATCACTTGTATCTTCGATGATTTCTCCTCTTTGGAGTTATGTCAATGCTCCTGACCTGTGTGTGACTACTATATTCTGAGTCATTCCTTGTGATGTTATACGCCCACCGATCTTAATTGATTGTCAACGTAGTGGTAATTGGCCAGCTCGTATTGAATGTATCGCAATGCTTCTGATGCCGACACTGTATAATGCCAGGGCTACTTGGCTATGGGTTGTCAAATTTGAGCGTGAAACTGTCGACTCTAGGCGCTAAGATTTCACAATCGTTCCCTATCAACTTTTCTCATATTACCATCATCTCACAGTAAACGCACAGGCAACTGCCCCATAGCAACAGGACTGAAGATGTTGGCTCTCATGTTTCAAGATAATTATGTTTCGTAAAAGAGATCAAGATCACGATGCCTTCCCAGTTGCACGAGGAAAACATTCCTACAAGGGGATGGTCCATTGGTGGTAAGAAACAAGACCTCAATCCTCAGAGACAAAATGGTTGACATAGGTTGAGAATAACTGATGGCGCCTGAAAACCTTTGATGGTGGACGCTCAAATATGACATACGAATTCTTCTTACACTCGAGAAGCCTTAGAGAATGAAAGCTGACACCCATAGCTTTCTTTGGTCATTCGTGTTAGACCAAGCCAAAAGCTCGGGGAACCCTTTACTATAGCAAGGTCTTCCTTTGATATGACTGACTAACAATTTGTGCTATTGTGGATGCACCCCAGATTATGGATAACGGCATCTGAGATGTATCTTGGGGCACATCGGACATCCGTCAACACAAAGCAGTTAATGTTGAAAACCATAAGTAACAAGGCTTCAAGGTCTTATAGATTAGTTGAAGATCGGGAATCTCCAGCGCAAGGCTACAAGATAACGGGCGTGCTCCGGTAGTCAGCCACCAGAGCTCGCCATTGATCAGTTTGACGGGTCAAAGTGTTATTCTTAAGTTCTGACGTCTCTGATAGCGTTGCGAGTTGGCCATTCACTTTATTGACCAGTACCTGAGTTAAGGGGCGAAAAGAAAACCTAGGACCTTATCCGTATTCCTAACTGATTGAAAAGATTTGGGTAAATTAGTAAGAACTTAGGGTGCCTTTTGACATCCATGTTTATTTGACTTTTGAGTTAAAAGTACCTAAGGTCTGATGTTTTGTTCTTCCCGTGGCTGGGCCAATGTAATAAGGCTCCACAACGAAAACCACAGGTTGATGGATCAAAGCTCCATGAGGCATCCCCCTGGTCTGTACTCCGTAGGTAGGACGACCTCAACCTTTGTAACCGCATATCTTAGGCACTAACTTATGGCACGTACCCGGGTAATACCGATCATTCGGCGGTACGGAGTTGACTGGATGAAGGAAGTCAATTAGTTAATTAGTTAGCACAATGAGGCTATTAGGGATCCAGAGATCTAAGGTGAGGTCAATTGGTAACAAATAGCGAGAGATGATGGCAATTGGCCATCTTCATCTTTTCTGCTCTCTTATCGATCTTAAAGATTCTGTCGAACGTCAGCTCCGTGGGCGAGATGAAGCCCCGAAATTCAAGCGGGTTGGAAAAACAAGCTAAGAAATTGTTAAGACTGCTTCGGAATATCCAGGCAAAACCGCTCAGTGAATCATGATTGGTCTAACGGAGTAGCTGAACCCCACTCTATCCCTCAGACAGACTCTGCTCTCCATCACCATCCTCCTCAAAAATCTCCATTTGCTCTCCTGTAAAGGCAGCACCGCACTCCCCAATCTCCCCTCCTCCCAATTGCACCCGGCTGCAATTGCTCTCCTTTCATCTCCAAACCTCCCGTATACCTCTAATATGTTCCGGAACGCCCTTCGACAGTCGACGCGCGCCGTCGGCGCTGTCTCTGCTGCTGGCAGGGTCGCCGCGGTAAGTTAAAACGTGCTCTTCCGAGCCCCCGAATCGACAATGCCATCGACCGGCGCCTCCAAATATCGTGCATCCATCGACAACCCATCGAGAGAGCTCAATTGAGTAGTTGGATTATACTTTTCAGTTTCGCACGAGCTTTTTTGAGCTATTTGGGATCGCTGTCGCCGCCGACCGGTCGAGGACTTTTTCGGGCTTCGGCTAACTTGTTTTTCACCACCAGGTCCGAAATGCCGCACCCGCCTCCATCAACGCCGCTCGATTCTACGCCTCCGACGCCAAGGCCACTCCTACTGAGGTTTCTTCCATCCTTGAGCAGCGAATTCGTGGTGTTCAGGAGGAGTCCGGTCTCGCTGAGACTGGTCGTGTCCTCTCCGTCGGGTATGTGGATCTTTGTTGGGAGCAACCGGAGCAAAGCGCAGGTGGTACATAATGGTCTCAAACATCAACACCACGCTGTCAATTGCCCTGAGACCCAGCAACGACTCAATTGAGACCAGCCAATACTAACACTCAACTCACAGTGATGGTATCGCCCGTGTTCACGGCATGGCCAACGTTCAGGCCGAGGAGCTTGTCGAGTACGTACTGATCAAAATTTGGAATAGTCTCGTCATGCATCACATATCTAACTATGTAACAGGTTCGCTTCCGGTGTCAAGGGAATGTGCATGAACCTCGAGGCCGGCCAGGTCGGTGTTGTGTTGTTCGGCTCTGATCGTCTCGTCAAGGAGGGTGAGACCGTCAAGCGTACCGGCGAGATTGTAAGCATACTTATATATCCTGAACTATTCGACTTGGGACTAACACATTGCCAAGGTTGATGTCCCCGTCGGCCCTGAGATGCTCGGCCGTGTTGTCGACGCTCTCGGTAACCCCATTGATGGCAAGGGCCCCATCAACACCAAGGAGAAGCGCCGTGCTCAGCTCAAGGCTCCTGGCATTCTGCCCCGAAAGTCCGTCAACGAGCCCGTCCAGACTGGTCTCAAGTCCATTGACGCCATGGTTCCCATCGGCCGAGGTCAGCGTGAGTTGATCATTGGTGACCGTCAGACCGGTAAGACTGCCGTTGGTCTCGACACCATCCTCAACCAGAAGCGATGGAACGATAGCCAGGATGAGAAGAAGAAGCTCTACTGTATCTACGTCGCCGTTGGTCAGAAGCGATCCACCGTTGCTCAGCTTGTCAAGACTCTCGAGGAGAATGACGCCATGAAGTACTCCATTGTCGTTGCTGCTACCGCCTCTGAGGCCGCTCCTCTTCAGTACCTCGCTCCTTTCACTGGTGCCTCCATCGGTAAGTTTTCAGCTCCTTCTCTCCCAGGTCACAGGAATATCTTCCAATCGAACATTTATCACGGACGCAACATATGCACATCAGCATCTTGTGAATTTTCAAATACTTTGTTCTCTTCAGCGTCTACTTGTTTTTCTTCGATGCTTGTGAAACTCCATTGCTAACTAGATGTTTAGGTGAGTGGTTCCGTGATAACGGCAAGCACTCTCTCGTCATCTACGACGATCTTTCCAAGCAAGCTGTTGCTTACCGACAGATGTCTCTGCTTCTCCGACGTCCCCCTGGACGTGAGGCTTACCCCGGTGACGTTTTCTACCTGCACTCTCGTCTGCTCGAGCGTGCCGCCAAGATGAACGACAAGCTTGGTGGTGGCTCCATGACTGCCCTTCCCGTCATTGAGACCCAGGGTGGTGATGTCTCCGCCTATATTCCTACCAATGTCATTTCTATCACTGATGGTCAGATCTTCTTGGAGGCTGAGCTGTTCTACAAGGGTATCCGACCCGCCATCAACGTCGGTCTTTCTGTCTCTCGCGTCGGTTCCGCTGCCCAGGTCAAGGCCATGAAGCAGGTCGCCGGCTCTTTGAAGCTCTTCTTGGCCCAGTACCGTGAGGTCGCTGCCTTCGCCCAGTTCGGTTCTGATCTTGATGCCGCTACCAAGCAGACCCTCAACCGTGGTGAGCGTGTAAGTTGAATATCTCCGTGTAACGATAATAAATAACGATGCTAATCTTTCTCTAGCTTACTGAGCTTCTCAAGCAAAAGCAATACAGCCCAATTTATGCATCCCCCTCCCTCTAATAATGCCATGATCCTAACTTTTCAACAGGGCCGTTAACGAGATGGTTCCTCTCATCTTCGCTGGTGTCAACGGACACCTCGACACCATCCCCGTCAACAAGATTCTCCAGTGGGAGTCTGACTTCCTTTCTCACCTCAAGACCAACGAGTCTGAGCTCCTTGCTACCATTGACAAGGAGGGTGCTATCTCCAAGGACACCGAGGCCAAGCTCCGTGACGTCACCCAGTCCTTCGTCAAGAGCTTCCTCGGTTAAATATAATCAAAAGCAACTTACGCGGAGAATAACGGAGGCCTTTGGGGATGTCGCTGTCTATACCGAATATTTGTTGTCGCTTTTCCCTCTTGAGGCGGAGGGAACATGTCGAGGGGTCGCGCCAGAATGGAGCGACGAGAATGAGATGAGGGAGATTCTCCTGTAGCATCGTCACATGTAAAATAGAGCTTAAAACTCAATCAATGTCCTCTATTCTTTTTGTTCTCCAATTTGCAAGCTAACTATATCTACACGAACCCTTGTATGTGAACCTAGAAACCCAAAAAGATGCGAAATGAATCTCGAATCGTCAGAAGATGGTAAAGTTTTACGCAACCAAGCCTCGGTTTACAGAGAGACTTAATATTTCTGCTAATCTATGTAAATTTGAGATTCCTGGTTGTTATCCTCAAACCTCCAATTCGTCAACTCAAAGCTTCATCACTCAAGACTATTAGTTTATAGGCAAAGCCACTGTCTACCAGTCAAGCAGGCAGAAAGGACGAGAGAGCACTAACTATTTCCTATTGCCTCTCCTCGAGGGAGGATAAAACTTCTAACATTAAATCCAGGTGCTAGAATAAACTTGTCTAAAGTGCTACTAAAATATCCTAAACTTACCTTACCCAAGTCTTTTGACTACTTTAGATTAAAGTCCTAAGTTTTCCTGCCTTCCATTGCCTCTTCAATAGCTAACACCAACACGCCGGAGCTCAGGTGCCAATCTTCATCAATTTGTTCGGAGAGTCAAATGTCCACATCAAGTTTCTTCAAAGCAAAGAGCAGTTCAAGCACGAGGGCCACCCAAACTCTTCGGGGCATGGAGGTGGCGGAAGACTTGACACACTTTTTGTGATCAATAAAAAGCAAACGCATGCGACTAAGGGTAACCCCTTGCTTGTAGATGCTCTAGCAGAGTCCCAAGGTGCCACAGCAAGACAGGAGCAGGAAGTTCACTGGGGGCAAAAAGGACGTTTCCCGCCTGCAATCAGTTCGTAACTAAAGAGTGCTTCAGCTGTATATAGCAGTAGAAAAGATCCATATCCCTGATGAATCCGAATCGTTTTAGAACTTCCGCGAATTTTCATCTAGATGATCCTCGTTGAGATGCTCAAGTGTACATGTGTGTCTATCTGAAAGGTTTCTCACAGGTCACTTAATCTTCACCAACTGTTTCCAAGCCAAAAGCTCTTGGCCCAATCTAGGATTATGTCAGTTATCCGGGCCATAACATATAAAACTACTTCAAAATTTACTTATCCTCTTCGCCTTTCCCTTTTTCTGAAATCTCTTTCTGAGTTTCCTGCCATTAGAATTCGGCTTGCCGGGATATAAACACACTTTCGCGGTCATCCCAGCTTTCAGCTTGCCCTTTCTTTATTATCTCTAGTTTGAAGCTGCTAGCTGCCTTATATTGCCAACAGGTGACGTGGCTTTACAAGGTGACAAAACGGATGCTAAGGTAGGCGGAGAACTGATGAGATGACTCCCGAGACGGTTGGGGTATTGTTGATTGTTGACTTGTTGCCTAGAATGCGTAGTCTGGTAAAGGCGGTCTACCAGAAAGGTTGTTCGATGATAAATCCAGAGGTTGAAAGAGTTCGGAAATCAAATGAACTCTCGGAACATCCAGTGCCATACCTATTTGGATACAAGAAGGTTTAGGCACTACCTTAGTATAACCACTATGAATATGCTTGATATGCAAAACCAGGCAGACAGGGGATGATGTTTAGCTTGAACCTTCTACTACCTTATCATCACGATGCCCGAAAACTCCCGCCTTGACTTTAGACTCATAAACCAGTACAACCACTATCAGAACGTTGGAGAGGCGAGGTCGGGAGGATAAAGGATGATACTAGGGTTAAACTTCATGTTCTCATCTCAAGGCCTGGGGTTCCTGTCTCAAATTCAGCCTTTGTACAGTAATAGTGTATAAATAGCCAGTGCAAGGCTAATCTGTAGTCTTTCCTGTTCCACCCTCATCAGCCAGGAGTGCAGCACGGAGGGGCGATTACAGAGTGGTCGAGATCCAGCTGGACTTGTGAAACATAATTTTATTGATGAAACTCTGATGTTGAGAATTTTTACTGATTAGGGTCAGCTTGTGGTGCGTTGGGAGACGTTTAAACTACCTGAAATCTTCGACGTGATAAGTATGCATCCGGAGGTATATCAGCCAGATATACATCATTGCAAATGGTCTAGTTGTGGCTTTGACCAGTGATTTCAAAACAATTGGTAGCTTTTCTGCAGTTTCTCCTTTCTTTCGGTGAGATCGAGCTTGCTTTCGTCGATAGTACTATGTCTAATGTGTTCATAATCTTCATTTGAGGCTGAGGCATCATCCGGATACTGGTGCTTCGCAATCTGATACAAATCTTGCTGGTTGTGGTCACTGCAGGATTGGAGAATCACGGTTCTGATGCACATTTGAGGAATGCCCTCGCCTGGCAACACGGACGTTCCGTCGCAAATAATCCAGTCGTAGGTAGCTTTGGCCAGTGGCCTAAATACCAAGTTGCTGTTTTCGGCAGTTTCCCTTTCTTCAGCGAGACCGGGCGCTTTCGTGGCCATCGGCCACCCCTTACCCGAATGGCTTTGTCGTTATCGCCGTTCTCATTCTCCTTATTGTTTTGCGCTTCACCGGCTTCTTTCTTCTTGGGGGTGATTATACGTCTTATGGCGGTATGGTAGGGAATAATGGCGATGCTTCTGAGGATCTGTGGTGTGTGTACGCCGTATTGACTGTGGCTAAGGTACCTTCAATAAATACTTTGATAAACAGATATTCACAGGAAAGCGGCAAGAAGTCATACGTAAGTTTAGTATAACTTATCAAGAAATAAAAAGGCGAAAGACTCAATTCACTATCTCAAACTTCCCCGAAACTTTATATTATTTAGGATAGAGACTCTAATTAGTAAGTCTTTATGTCGTTCAGAGGTCCTCAGGTTCTCTTGTTTAAACCTTGGCGTGCTGGACTGAAACTCGACTGGTTTCGAAGTATGCTGACATCCTTGCAGCTGAGGGAGAAATCCCTGACGATATCAAAGAAGAATATCAGATTATCTAGACATTTGAGCTCATCAAGCGAGATCTCGGTCAGGGTTACAACTGAAACCAAGACTTCGCATGACTTGGTCTGAGCAGGATTATCCCCTTGTGGCTTATGAAGGTCACTTCTACTCACTGTTGGTCCCAACTGTAGTTATCACAGTTGATCGTGTTCTCTGGTTTCCTTGTTCCACTCCAAGCTACCTAGGCAACTGGGATGACAGTTCGGATCGGCTGGACCCTGAATAATCCGCAACCTTGCGTCGATCAGAATGCTGCATCGCGTAAAGATATTAAGTAATAACTTCGACCGTAAGATATGCATTTTCTCGTGTGAATATAACAGACCTTCTGAAGCACTGCGATTATCCCCTACCATATGCCATGAGACGTGTGGTCACCCCCAAAAGAAAGAAGATGCCCCTGATCTCGATGAATATTACTTGAAGAACAGTCCACATTCGACCAGCGGTCAAGCTTCTAATAGACATAACGACACCGCTTTATTCACAACGCCTATCTGGACCAACAGAAATATCAGAACAGAAAGGGGTCGGGGTTCTCTGCGGTAAGTACCCAGCCTATTGTTGTTGTGATATCTAACCTGTACTTGCAGTATCACCAGAATAATATCACACAATGCCAAAAGATATACATATATATATATCAAAACCACAGGACCTAATTTCACTACAGGATTGATGAAAACGAAAGCAAGAGGGTCGGATACTCCGGTCTCAGTAGCGAGGTCCACCCATACTTTAAAATCAGATCAGCTGCGTATTGACTCAATAAAGCCAGGTATTTCACCCTCAAGAATCAGCAAGAACGTATGTCTGCGTTGTGAGTTGAGATTCAAATGCCCCAAGCCCGCCCACATGCAGTACATCGGCCGCGAACCATTTGGGCACATCGATTGCCATCCCGTCAGCTTCCTACGCAGTTTGTTCAAATAAAGTTGAAGGGGCAAGGCCATTCGGACCCTGCTGAGCGATTGGTTGATATATATCATACGACATAGTGCGAGATTTACGTAGAAGACGCATTGTGATCAAATGTCTTGAATATATCTTTTGCAGACCTCGGGGAACCCTATATCATCCTTATTTCTGAGATTTAACTGGCTGAAGTACCAAATATCTGGCACGCGTGATCATGCAGACAGAAGGCAATTCTTGACTTGAACCTTCTGTTCTTATCCCGAGGTCTGAATGTTCGGAACTTATCTTTAGCCTTGATATAGTAATATTACAAATGCTAGAAACCAGTGTGACTATTCTCAAACTGTCAGGTATGCGAGATCGGTTGGATAGAGATAGTACTTGGCTTAAGCTGTCTCGAAATATCTCGAATGCCAGGTTAGGATGATAGAGGATATTGCTTAGCTCGAAGCATCTTATTTCATCCAGAGGTTGTGAAGATCCCGCCTCGACTTCAGCCCCCACTCGCTCACCCGCAACAGATCTTATGGCCGGAGTCAGCCTCTGACTTCAGTGATACTATACTCTTACCTGTGAAGGTTGTCCAGCTCAGCAATGGCTCAGCTGCGGGTGCTCTTGAGGGCATTGCTCCTACTTCTCCAAGGGACTTGACTCGTTGTATCGTCCATACACTGGACTGTTCTGTGTCGTCGCTTCGGCTGATCATGATCCGGCTGATGTAAACCAACTCATTGTCTCCGCATATGACATGGCGAAGATGGCAGTGAGTTGCTCATGTAATGTCGATAAAGAGGTTCCTAAGGCGGCCCATATGCCAGTCCTGCTCAAGTTGCACATGCAGAGTGTTGATGTTACTGTCAACAAGCTCAGTGATGATTTCCAGGATAACTTACAAGAGGAGTTACTCCCTACCCGCAACCTAGTAAATACCATCGATTTAACACTGCGAAAGACAATGTACTGGGTTTTGCAGGACACGGCCGCTCGGCCTATTGCTCTTTTCTTGGGATTGCGTGTCAATTTATCCTGAGGTCGTAATAATCCCGCTTCGACTTCAGCCTCAACTCAGTAATAGTAAATCGCCATTACCAAGCCATTCTGAACTGTTGTCCCGGTCCTTCCAGCTCTGGATTCATCCACCACTGGGTAGACAAAAAGCGATACTCGGTTTAGCGCAGGGTTCGTCCCTTAGTCAAAAATATTCCAACGTCAACTTCTGCTCTTGCATGCTAGTGATGGGGTTTCCAGCGCAAGGCTAACCTGCATTGTCTTACCAGCTCTTCCTCATTCACTCGAAGCGCAACGCAAAGTCGCGTTGCAATGGTAGTTAAAGTCCAGTTGGCCTGTGATGGCTAATATTGGCAACGGGACCCCGGTTTTAAGAATCGGTACTAATTAGGGCTATGGGGGGAGGGCCTGGATGCGTTGGAAGACGTTTGTATAAAGCTATTGACATGAGAGTGTAGGATTATGAACAAAAGGTGATACAACGCTTCGAGGTTTGTACGGGTTACCTGAATCGTGTTGATGGCGCTGCCGGGAAGATGTTTAATAGCGATGGTCATTTTGTCGGGGAGTATGAGTTCGTGGTAGGCAGCTAAGGTTGTCTGGATAAGGCACCTTAGGCTACAGCACCTACAAAGTACTTTCGAATATTGATGCGCGGTCGAGTTCTTCGTTGGCGACAGAGGCACTGCTAGAAAAAGATAGTCAACGGACATTAAGTAAGCTGATAGCTGGCCATACCAGTATAATCGTAGACGGCCAAGGCAGGTCGAGGCAAGAAAGCTTAGGACCTGTATTATAAGGGATGAGAAGACTTAGGCAATTTACCCTAAGCTTAGGGGAGACTTTACTAAGTTTGTTTTGGTATTCTCTTCTAAAGTTTATGTTTTGTTGTTCCCCGAGGCGAGGGTGCCAGTGTCCTCGTTCTCCTCTATCTATCGTGTCAGTAGCGTTGAAGCGCACGCGCAGCTGTGAGGTACGCCTGAATCCTCCTACTGGTCATAGTATGTTTATGTCCTTGTCTATTTGCATAAGTTACAGCAGCTGCAAGGTACTTTCGCATTTCGGTGCGTAGCTGAGTCTTGAGCTAATAGCCTGGCTCAGCCTGGATAACATCCATATGTCATGTGCTCTTAGCTGACCGTACGGAGCAAGAAATACAAGGTTCTAGGAGAGGATGTTAAAATATACTTAGTGAAGACTCTCTTGTACTCAGGTCAGACTAAATTGTCTACATATATTTATCACTTAAAATAAATGTCCTTAGTTTTCTTGCTCACTCCTAGCTGGATCATCTATATAACAGAGTCGTGATTGTAGTTACAGCCTGGATTCATCTACCTCATCGTCCTCACCGAAGATGTTGAGAAATGAGATGTGAACTTCGTCAGTCAAGTCGCTTGCCTGTAGACTGCGTCCCTTCTTAGAAAAGGCTAGACGAGAACATTCCTAGGAGACAATTAGTGTGATACTTTGGACCCATAGAAATCCGGGGTTCGCCTCTTGGCGGGAAGCTCAAGAGAGAATGGCAACCAGAGGTGACCTCTATGCCTTTGAGCAAGAAAAGGGGCAAAACACATACTCTTGTGATAGCAGAGCCACCGAAGGCCGCGAGTCCAACCAACTCGTGCTCGCCGATGGGATCCTTGCCGACATCCCACAGACGGTCCAGGTACGCTCTCCTCCATCCCAGAAATGTGGCAATTGAACCAGTCAGAGTATCTCCCTGCCCGCCACTCCTCTTCTTACCACCTTCAAGGTCCACAGTCAGTGTTGTTTCGCCGTTGGAGATGTAATCCTTGGCACCCTTCTGAACCACTGTGACGCCCTTGAGAGTTTTGGCCAGAGCCTCAACGCGCGCGGTCTCAGGCGCATTGTCGTCGACTTTGACTTTCAGTGCGTCGCACAATTTGCCAAACTCGACAACGTTGGGTGTCAGTACAGCACCGTCGTAACCGCTCACCAGCTCGGGCTGCGTGTGCACGATCGCCAGAGCATCAGCATCCAATACAATGGGAAGCTCTTGCTCGCGAGCAGCACGGATAACGCGTGCAACAGTAGCATGCATCAGAGGATCACGACCCAGACCAGGCCCGATGACGAGGACATGCAGGCGAGGCAGTAGATCTTTGATTTGAGCCGCAATGTGGTCAGCATTGGACTCGGGGTCCTTGGAAGCATTCCAAGCCGCAGGCTCATGTTCCTTTTTGGCATTTTCACTCTGTCGCATCAGCGGATGGACCATGAGGTTTGGCGAGTATGACTTGATGACAGTTGCGGCTGCTGGTGTGCAAATGACATGCGACTACATGCGAGAGCCATGGTTAGCCAGAACATATCATGGAGAAAAGTACGAAAGCATAAATTACCAGATCAGACCCCAGCCTTGCGCTCGCCATGGCCGAGAAGTAGGGTGCGCCTGTATAATTTTCACTGCCGCCGATGACGGCGACTCTACCCAACTGGCCTGTTCTTGCGTCAGTCTTCAGTCATCCAGAATCAGTGCTTTGGCGACAGACCCTTGTGAAACCTCTCTAGCATTGGCGGAATCATATGCCGCACCTTGGAAAGGACCTCTTTTGTAGCAGAAGACATTCTTGGACCAGATTCTTGAGACGACATCGCAAGAGACTTATGTGATGAGAGAATGAAAGTTGAGACTGAGACGTTGCAGGGAATTGAGATGTATCCGCGAATGGCGGGGTCTTAATTAGATCAGATCAGTTTTACACATAAGGTTCCAGTAAGATGGTAGAAGAAGAAAAATATGTGAAATGACACAGCTTTAATAAAGAATCGCAAGACAATCGGCTAGATTTTATTTGACCGGATTCCAATCGATCGGAATCGATGAGGTATTGCCAGCCTGGTGTTACAACTTATGATGTCACTTTTGTGAGCTCCAGACTGCAGGTGCTTTGTTCAACAAGATAAAATAAATCGGGTAAAGGCTAAGTAATTGACGGGTCCTAAGTTTGTGAGAGGATCGAATTAAACTACCTATCTACAATACCCAAGTTAGGCATCCAGTTGCTTCATTCGACCGCGTTGTTTATCCCAGGGTTAACTTGGAGAAGGCCGAAATCCAAGCCCTCTATCAAAGACATTGATGAAGAAGAGCTTGGAATTTTTAGAGAAGCACCATTATCTGAATCCGCTATTCCTAGCTCAATTGTAGACAGTTCGCCCTCCGAATCCCTGGCAAACAAAGTGAGCCTCAACAGAAAGACAGATAGACTTGGGTATGTTCAGGCTATTTTGCGATATCTTAGGATAGAGATTTCATTGCTTCACATTAACGCTAGCTGTAGAGCATATGCTTCTATAATACTGGCAAATCCCCAAGATGTAATGAATAAGAAGAACTTGAGTATTCTCTCATGTAAACACTAAAAAGCTCTCTTATATCACATTAACAGGGAAATGGTTCGGTACCGTATTTCTCTCTGCGAGTGCCGGTTTCTAAGCCCTTGTCTTACTCCTGCACTTACTCCAGCAAAGGTTCAAGGGATCTGAGTTCCATCACGAACAGGCATCACCTCAACAGCCTCCATCATTGGTACCGCAGTATGACCCTCGTGTTCACACTCTGGCCAATACTCATGAATATCTCGCCTTATGCCACCCCATGAGCTCCATCCTCCATGCCATATAATGTGCATCTCGTCATCGTCTTTGACTTGGAAGAAACTGATATCAGTATCGAGAAGGGGCTGGTGTCTCATAACGAACATGAGTTTCTTAATGTCGGGAAACATCTCTCGAACATCTTGGAGCAGCCGATCTAGTTTGACGTCGGACTCTTCTATATCCGGCCATTTCACTGCAACATTCCAAACGTCGTAGAATTCACCCGGACCAGGCAGTGAATACTCCCATACCATTTCCTGGTCCCAATAGACGATGTCCGTGGATGGTAGAAACCAAAGACTTTTGTAAATGCCGCTGTTCACTCCGAATAACTGCCTGGCTTCACCTTTGAAAAGAGCCTGAGATTCGCGACACGCTTGCGCAGAAGCTGGAGGTTTGTGAGGAAATATGATTCGAGTGCAATCAATTTCCGCATCCTCAGGACTGCGATCCAATCTAAAGATCCTTGGCTTTCTGAAAGACAATCTCCATATCATTGTTCGCAGCTCAATGGGAAGTTTATTGAACTTGTGGAATGTGGTAGTAGCGCAGTTTGTCGTATCAAACTCTTTGCCTGGTCCACCAAATTCAGCTTTCAGATGTAACAGTTGATGTCCTACGATAGTAATTTAGCATAGAAGGGTGTGGAAGATAGAACGAGACAAACCATCTTGTGTTGTGAAGTTCATGTCTAATGTTCCAGACACTCTTGGGAAAAGCAACTTGAGCTTTTGGAACGGCGATGTCACTGCGTTGTAGATCTTGGAGCTCAGCGACGGAGTTGGCACCGAAGAGTGCATAGTATTCTGTCCTTGAAGAAGGGGGCCAAAGCCAATCAAGGGTTGTCGACTAGGCATCATGTGCCGGATGAATGATGCTTTCGCATCCGAGGGCATACGTTGAGGCTCAAATAGAGAAGAGGTAACGAGTTGTGCCAAAATGCGAGGAGTATAACAATCTCGAAAAGTGCTTAGAAGTAGAAAATGAAGAAGTTTGTGTGAGAGAATACATCTGCGTTTGGTTGGATGGCAAGTTGGCAAGAACAGGTGTGCAGCAACTGCTCGGTAACTGGCGGAAACCACAGGTAACATGCTCCTCTGTTTATGAAAACGCGGGCCTTCAAATGGAATTTTTCGCAACAGGAATCTAGATAGATATAGATAAACACCTAAGCGGCATATATCAGTTTTGAAAAGCTACGACCTCTTGAGCGGCTTTTCCATACATGGTTGGGCACAGTTGTCTGTTGAAATGAGACTACGTGCTTCCTATATAGCGCTGTTTATTCTTCCGTGAACTATCTGCGGTAAGTTAGGTATATAAACTAACATGTTTCATGGATGTCACGGGTGGATAGATAGGTATCTATAAAGAAGTTCAGTGTTCGGTCGGGTTCCTTCTTACATTAGTCATTTAGTGCCTCAGATCATCAAATGTAAAACGCATAAGAACCAAACGCCTAAGAGTTTTCTAGAAATAAAACCGAGGCCTTGTTTTATCTTGCACAAACAGTACGCCAGTGCAGCAGGTATCCGTTCAAGGGCGAATCACAATATGACGGGGGCTTGACAGACGGCTGGCAGCTGTTGGCGGTCCTCACAGCCAGGCGAAAACTGTTTGTGATTCATATTTCAGCGCCTTGATCCAGTCCTGCTCTGAGTTCCGTGCGACTCGGACCTCACACAAAAGTGTTATTGTGCATCCTTGGAGTGTGTCTTTCGCACAGTTGGTGCGCTCTCCCATGCGCTCACTTGCTTTCAGCTGAAAAGTCCTCTGTCCACACCCGCAGAGCATTATAATCCATACATTCTGGATTTCTCTCTCTTTTTATTACCAAATAGTCGTCATGGAGCATGCCTCCATAGATGGGCGGCGAAGGAACAAACCATCAGTTCCGATTCTTTATCCGTCACGCAAGTCAGAGACAGATGCAGCACCCTCCCTTCGACCAGCCTCGCCTCCCAAAAGTAACCCATGGGCTCCAGCAAAAAAGCCCCGGGTCAATCCTACAGCGGGAATGTTTCCGCCTCTGCCTGAGCCTCAAGCACCATGGTCGCCGGTCAAAACACCTACTGTCAGTATGTCGAGGGCCTCCTCGCTTTCTCCTGGCAAAAAGAGATCCATAGACGATACAGTATCGGGTGCGCTTGGACCCGGATCAACATCACCTTCCTCCATCACGTCTTCCTCATCTCGCCATATTTTTGAGGCTGCGGCACCACGAGCGACTTCAAAGTGAGCTGATCCTTCTCTGTGTCCACCCAGTACTATCAACTGACCGCCTTTAGTCTATGGAATTGCCCCTTTGGTGCTGATGTGGTGGTACGGTCGGGGAACTTAAGCTTTCGAGTCCATCGCAACATTGTGGTACCCCAGTCAGGCTGGTTCCGCGATAACCTGCCACCACCCAATGTGGTAAGTATCTTGTCTTCCGTCCAGCTTGTAATTATTCGAACTGACAACTTCAGGATGGGACACCAGTTGTGGTGACTGTGGGCTTCGCTCCCGAGACTGTCGCTCATTGCTTACGTTTTATATATACTGATAGTACGTGTCGAGCTCTATCTGAATCAAAGGAGACAGGAACTGATACATGAAACAGAAGTTGAGATTTGCGACACCGATACCCAAAATCCCTGGAATGCTGCGCATATTCCTTGTTGTGTCTTGGCGTATACCACTGCTGTCCACTTACGCATGGCGAAAATGACATGCCATCTTCTTCGCGTGGTCGAGAATACTTCCAGTGAACTTGGCGCTCTAATACGTAGAGACCATATCTCTCAAAAGCTAGACTGCTCCAAATGGGTCCAATTCTCATGGCACTATCAGAGGGCGTTGGATATCATCGTTCGGGGACAGCCTCAGAAGCTGATGGTGCCCATGAGGCTAGCTATGGCAAGCATCCTTGATGCTGTGCTCTTCTGGGTGGTACGGCATCCTCTTTTTGCCAGCGACCTGAAAACACCGTGGCAAAGGATTCTGGAAAACAGTATGCATGATATTGCTGAGTATAAGCAGCTGTGTCGAAGCACGCATTTGTTCAACAGTCCGTTGCCAGATGAGTTGGCATTGCTGGAACTATTCGAACAAACGAAAGCAGAAAAGGGGCCACCAGAACCTTCAAAGTCAGTGGGGACACAAACAGAAGATGGTGGTTCTGAACAAGAATTGAAGGGCCAGAGAAGTGATGTTTCTTTCACTCAGCGTGAGAGACGAGGCTTGCTGTAACTTTCGACTTATTTGCTTGCGTGAGGACTTGAGAACGAGGCAACATGGTATTTTCTCTTTCTTGGACTTCTGGCTACGACGAACCACATTGTAGACAAAAGAATAGAACTATTGATGAATAGTGGCGGTTATTAGCTATATGTATTCGAACAGAATAAATAAAGGCTGGTGTTGGCAACGAGTTCCTGGGTAGGGTAAGAAACTCCATGAGGTCGGCCCCGGTTTGTATTTCGTTCCGATGAGTTCTAAGTATATACTGTTGCCAGTGAGTTGATGCTGGATATTTGACGGAATTTCTCTCCACAAGCAACAGTGTCAGCCTGGCACAACACTCACAGGGACCCATCTAATGTTGGCCTTGATTAACCTTGACTTAAGAACATGTACCGGAACATGATGCTTATCAGCTGGATACCCAATCAGGCAACGATGTCTGCAGTCTAAACATGTGATTTCTAGCCCATGATCCGCAGTGACCCGAGCTGTAGCACATATAAACGCATGCATAATTGTAATTATATCTGAATAGTCTCGCTGTTCATCGGATGCTGATGGCCTTGGCTTGGATGCTTGTAAAACCAATACCGTCGTGAAGGTGAGTCAATGAAGAATGTAATCGGGCAAGTGGAGGAATGGATCGTTGCTTGATTGATTGAACTGTTTGACCAATGCATTTCCAATGTAACCTAACTAATCTTTGAGAAAGGGGGAAGATATCATGCGGCTCTTCCATTTTGCCTTCTGATTAGTCTAAGCCGTAAATGAAGAGTGACTTTAGAACGTAATGAGAAGGGCATCTTCCGGCTTTGCCTCTTTAAAGTGAAGTGTTTAAGATTCACTAAGGAATCTACTCTTCAGCCATTGACCTGTCAGATGTCTACAGAGTCTTTCCCAAAAGCGAAGCTATTCACAAACTAAGGCAAGAGACAGAGGCCAAAGTATCGATCTGACTGACCGATCTCCAGGCAATCAGATCAGCCAGAAAACAGTCCTTCTAGAGCAGTAGGCGACGGATTCGGCTGCACTCCGATTAAGGAGGCCCCTGGCATCCCCCCCATGATGATTAAAGAAAACCTCCTTTGTTAGAAGAAAATTCTCTATTTTGGCACTGAAGATAGCTTCAAGAAGAAGAGCTACAGCAAGAAGACTATGGGGTCAAGCCAGGCAGAGGCATTTGCCTCGCTAGGAGGACAGCTTGTTAGCATCAGTGTCTTGTAGAGCGGTAGATTCGCGTTTCATCCTCATCCTAAGAAGGTTTTATAACCCTTCTAGTAATGCCTTGCTATCACTTTTACCTTAAAGAGTATGAAGAAATGTAATTTTAACAACCATAGACCTCCCATTTACTGTGAACTCCTATGTAGTTACTATCTTCTTCGCAAAACGCTCTTTAATCTTGAGAATATCTCTCTACGGATGACGAATCACCAGATTTAATATTAATAAGTTGGAAATCGAAGGGGCCTTTGCTTATTACTTATACAGACGAACATTGGAGGCTCAGAGTGAAACCAAGGGAATATGGTATCTTGAACTGAATTATTTAGCCTAATTTCTCTCAAACTCAAGGCTCTGAACCATCTGAATCAACTCCTCTGACCCCTGAGGCTCAGACAATTCCTGTTTGGCGAGCCTATAAACCTCCGTGAACCATTCATGGCATTTCTTTGTCATTCCTTCTGGCAATCTCGGCATTTGGTTCATTGTGGCCTGGGCACATCGTTCTAAATGCAAGTCGTCCCCCTAGGCATCGACACTGCATAGAAATGCATCCCGAGCACGCTTCTTGTCTTCATCGGTAGAATTCGCTGCCTTCACAACAGCAAGAAATCTGCCAAGACAGTCTTCAACGTCCTTAGGCAGTAAACCAGGAACTAAACTTTCAAAGTTAGCACATTATACGAGAACCCTAGGCGATCATTGTCTATCTAGGAAACTGACCTGAGGTTTTCTGCTCTGATTTCTTGGCGCGAGTAAGCTTGTCGCTGTTCTTTTTATTCATGTCGACGATCGACGCGCGAGGAGACGTCTTAGAGGTAGTGCAAGATATCTATGCACGCTCAGGCAATAGTTTGCAGTCCAAGGGGAATATTATAGTACGGAAAGATGTTCAGTGTTGAGCCTCCGGCAGACTTATCTTGGTGATCAGTTTAAATGAGGAAATGGTTTGTTTCCGTAGACTGGATCTATAAAGTAAACATTTCACTGCATCTTGGAAGGTCGGTCACGTGCCAATACCTGGCAGCGACAGGATCCACTAAAAAGCTGGTCACGTGCCAAGAGTCCTGTCTATTCATGTATTTAACGAGCATTCAATTTATAAATCTTTATTTAAAAACCTATTCCTCAATTATTCATCGTCAATAACCTTGATTTTTGTTTGCCATTGATGTCAGTACCTCATTCTACCTTCTGGTGTCGCAATACTGACTGTGGTGCCAGCGTGGATACACAGAGACAACAGCCGGGCCTATCCTGAATCTTGCCTGTTTATCGCCAACATGGAGAAGCTACTGCAATATGAAGGCTGCGATGTTGATGAGAACTCGGGCGCCATAGCCTTGGCTCCCTGGGCCCGTAACGAAGCAAATCGCCGCTGGGCTATTATTACCCACCCTTACACCGACATGAGCGTTGCTCCCGTGTAGCACATGAGAGAACCCATCATCGACGAAATGATGGCATTTATTGGATTAGGGTCCTATCATCTGGATGCCGAAGAGTTAGCAGGCTTCGTATGGGAGCGCGACTTCTACGATATCGAAAGTGATGATAATATTGCTTGGGGCGATGTGGACTCCATTACACAAGCATCATTCCACCGCACAACCAAGTTTGGTGGTGGTTTTGATACCAAATATCCTGTCTCACAGGGCGTCAAAGACATTATTTCCAAGTACAAGCAGGGTTGTGACCTGGTTGCACGCCTTCCATCGACACAGCGTAATGGCCATTCCCTGTCAGTCACATGCCGGGGCCTGCGGCGAGCTGAGGCTCTGAAACGCCTGACGCAAAAACAGCGTGCCTCTAAGCGAATCCGACCCTGGTTTCCCCAGGACCCGGAGGTTGACGCCATTTTCTCGGCATGGGAAACCAAAATCCCTGTCCAGGCCAACAAACGTATCCCTGACCAAAGCTGGAAGGCCGATTCGGACACACTCGACAAAAGCCGGATAATGTGGGTGAAGCCTGCACACCTCGAGGAGGCATATAGAAGAGAAAAGTCGACTTCAAAAGAAGACTGGCCCGATGATGAACCACAGAAAATCATATACGGTCATCGACATGGCTTGTACATTATCGCCGATGGACGATACGACCCAGTTACCGACGAAACCGAGGAATCCACTGAGGACTCCGATTCAGAGGATTAGAGCTCTGAAATTGCTATGGAAAGTTTAGGATTGTAGGTCGTTTGGTCTCAAAATAGTCGGCCACCAGCACGGAAAAGAAGTTAACCTTATCATCGGGAACCCAATTGGTGGCCAGTAGAAGTGTGTAGGTAGATGCAAACAGACTGCAAAACTTGATTAAATGAATATAGCTACCAATTCTCAGCCTAGCTAGACTCCTAAGCTATCTATGTCATGCATAGACTATCCCCCAAAACAACAACTAATGCCGCAATGCCAAATTTCCCAACGCCCACTAGACTTTTCGTCCCTACTGGACGGTGCTTCGGCATTCAAATGGTGCCGGAAGACTCTTTAGTGAACTTGTTCACGATAGCAGCATGAATGTCTTTGTCCTTGGAAATGTATTTACGCCAGGAACGCAATGGCGCTACCATTTTCATTGCGTCTGCTTGAATCTTGAGTTTGACCAACTCGCTTGCCAGGTGAACATCTGATGTCTCTGCAAGGGTGGCAATCAGTGTGGCAGAGTCGATTGGTGTGTCCTGTTCGTTCGTTGGACAGTCGAGATGAAGACTCTGAATCGTTTTATCGAGTGACTTTAGAATGAGATCGTCGTATGACACTCTAGCTGAAGCCAGGTAGAGTGTTGTTTCTGCGCTTAATGGCAACACCTTATGGACTGTGGGGAATGGACTGCCCATCATTCCTTCTGTCATTTCATATGCGTCGAGGATGGCTGCTTGTAGCGATCTGTCATCATCGAATGTCATCCTGGAAGCCGTCTCACAAAACTGGAAGATTAATGGGCGATATAATGCATCGGGCAAGACTTCGGTTAGATGCCAGAGAGCCCCCATACATAGGCCATCGTTGAGTTGGACGATGGAATCCGTAGTCAAGATTCTCTCGGCGACGGAGTTTATTGCATGTGGCCATAACTTCTACTGACAGTTAGATCGGGGGACACTGGAAAGCGTCACAGAGAAGAACTCACTTTATAGGCCTCAAGCAGCCGGCGGGCCCCTCGACGTGTCATGTCGCCTTGCCCAAGCTGTCGGATACACTCCCAAAGGTAATGTTTCTTCTCATCCAACACGGCACATGGGTCCGAAGAGCCTCTTGCAATCTGTGAAGCTGTGAAGAGTCCCTCCAGGTCATCGATCGAGCCAGTTTCTTCATACATTGCCATCGCCGACATACATAAAGACTGTAACGAAGACGCTGGATCGATAGAGGAGCATGTGCGCTCATCTTCCGATAACTGGGAAGCCCTTGGACGCACAGGCACATCTAGATTTTCTATAGTGTCGCTGACATACTTTGCGATGGTTCGCTTGATGTTCGCCGCTTGATCCTCTCTTCTAGTTTGTCGGTCGCCGACAAAGAACTCAGAATACCAGTAAACCTTTTTGTAAGCCCCGTTTGTTTTGACTGAAGCAAGTGGTCTCAAGTTGCAAAGGCCATCCTGTCGATCTTCGAGAGTAAAGAATCGTCTTCTTTCCGCATTGTCTCCGAGTAATCTCACAATGAGACCAGAGTCTCTCGTATTCAGATATGCATGTCTCTTACTGTCAAAAGATGCAACATTCATCGTACGAGGAGTATTGTTGCGGTATTCCGCTGAGAGGAGTTCATCGTCCCGCTCAGCCATGCATTCGCCAACAAGTAAGACAAGTTCCGTGCTATTAGTATGAGTTAGCAACCACACATATGAAAACTCATTAACTCTTACGTAGGCGTTGTCTTGATGTCCCAATCATTTTCTTGTTCAGTGAAGTCGGTTTTGGTCAACTCTGTATCCATATTCGCAAAACTGACTTTAGCTTTTGAGCTTAGACTTTTCTCGCTAGTCGGTTTCACTCGTATAATCTTGAACTTGTCCCGGCCCGGCTTCCCAGTGTTGTAGGCCAGTCCCGAGTCACTGAATGCCCAGTCTTGTGTGTCGTCATCCATGATCGAGATCAATCACCGAGATGCGTTGAAGTTTAAGTCGAAAACGTATAGCTCAGTTGCGTGTTTCCTATTGAGTTGCCAACTTGATATGTGCAAAGTGCGAGATATTGTCGACGAAGGAGAGTTGAAAAAGAGAAATGTCTTAGTGATATTGTTAGAGAATACCGCTGCGAACAATAGGCAACTCAGAAACAATAGAGCGGGGAGAGAGCGGCGTCTGCGAATACCGGAGGAGTGAGTTGAAGAAGAAGAAGAATAAATAAAGGAGAGAGTCAGGATCATAATGGAAACTATTTATAAGAAACAAAATAATATCATGGCGGCTTCGGTGATTCACGTCACGTGACTCGTGGTTTTACATGAGGTCAGCAATATTGCATTTAAATATATAAAGTAAGGCAGGCAGGCAGGCCTCTTTATCATTTCAGACTGCAGTGTTTGCCAGGTGCTGGTGTTAACGAGGAGGTGACCTCAAGCCGTCGGCGAACGAGAGAACCCCGCTTGACAGCCTGTGCACACAGAATACATAATACTTTTGCTCTCTAGCATTAAGAAAATACCCCCGGCGTGGATCGTGGACTTCAAATCATCTACTCGTCTTGTTTCATCTCATCCATCGACAATGCCCTATGTATATAAGCCATGGATATTGAAAAGCCTAGGAATCCCGTCATGGGAACATGTCCGGATGATGGGCGCAGAGGGGCTCCGCAAAGAAAAGGAACGTCGTCAAGAGTTAAAAGTCAGTATTATCACAGAAGTCCAGACTGGATGGCAGTCCAGTGATATTACGCCCCTTTTTACTAATTTGGTTACCAGGAGAAACTCAAAGCTGGACAGAAAGAGTCCGATGAACGACATGTCTCATCTGAAACAACTGTCAAGGTAAGGGCGATTCTTTTAGGAACAGGATATTCACTAACCAGATGAATCCTCAGGTTCAGGAACCGGAAGAGAAGCACAATGTACTTTCAGGTCAGGAAAGTGGCAAGCCTGAGCAGGAAGCGGATAGTGCACACAGTATCAAGGATGAGAAGAAGGGAACGACAGAGGGTGAGCTATAAATACTTAGTTGTTTCCCATAGCGCAAGATTCTTCAAGTTGTAATGAAACTCGGAACATTGTTGTTATGCAAGACCAAGACAATTCACTGATTTTGTTTGAGTGGCCTTGTCGGACCTTGATTCGAAATAAAATAAGCAAAGGGTATCCTAAACTCATACTAAATTTAGGTATGCCAAGTTACCTAGATATTTTTGTCATTTAGGATCGAAGTCCTGGGTTTTCTTTTCTCCCCTGGGTACGTAGGTAGAGTCGTCGAGGATTTGATCATGCCAGTCACGTGGCGTCGCGTGAGTTTTGTAAGGTACTTTACGCGACTCTCAGGCAGTTGTGGATTCCCTGCCGTGCGTCATTCAACTTCAGTTTTGGGTTTCAGGTACCTGGTACATAATTTTTCAGGGCGATTCAGAACTGAAATACGTGCTCATATTTGTAAACAATCCATCCAATACCCTTGACTTCGAAGCAACATGGTTGCTGGGTACCAACGGCTGAATGAAAAGCAATCGCAACCGAATCCCCATGTTGTCTTCATCAAGCCTTTAGAGGGCCCAGACAAAGAGATAGCTCAGGACTTTCTTGAGAGAATAGCAGCACAATGTCGTGAGTTGATGATTTCCTTGAGCAGTAACACGGTATTGATATTTGCGGTTATCAGGTCCCATTATGCGAGAAAACCACCTGTACGTTACTTCGCTAGAGGAGTACGAGCCAAATCGTGAATTCGTTGGGCGGAATTTTAATGCAGGCGAAGTCGTTCAACTCGTGCTAAAGTCACCTAGTACTGGCCGCTGGTTACCATTCAACTATGTGCAGATGGTCATGATGCATGAGCTGGCACATTGCAAGCAAATGAATCATTCAAGAGCATTCTGGACCGTTCGAAACTTGTACGCTTCTCGGATGCACGAACTTTGGTCCAAAAACTATACCGGAGACGGCCTCTGGGGAAGGGGTGCTAACCTTGCCACTGGTGAATGGGAAAAGAATAGCGTGCTGGCTGATGAGGTTCTACCAGAGCATCTTTGCGGAGGTACTTACAGATCACGTCGCAAGAGACGGGTCAAGCCACAACTGTCCTACCAAGAACGAAAAGAAAGGCGAATCTTGAAGAAGTTTGGCAAGAATGGGGTCGCTCTCGGTGCCGATGAAGAAGAAAAGGTCAAGTTGGAGAGTGGCAGGAAGATTCAAGCAAAACCTCGGGTTGCTGGAAGCATGAGAGGACGCGAGCTCCGGGCGGCGGCGGCACTCGCTCGCTTCGAAAAGCAAAAGACAGAGCTCGAGACTCTCAAAGATAATGACGAGACAGATTCCGGGAGTGGCAGCGAATTTGAGGAGCAGCCTGGAGAAGATTCTAAGGATGCTGTCGATGTGAATGGTAAGAGACTACTTGATGGACAAGGCCACGGCATGGTCAAAGTCTGTGAAGATGAGGATGGAGATGATCCTGGGGCCGAGGATGAGTGTCGAGAGCTTCAAAGATTGATTAGGAGCATCAAACGGGAGTCGCCTGAGCCGCAAGTTACAGAACCACCTCAAGAACCTAGGCCTCAGGTTTTCAACAAACAATCACCGCCAACAGCAGCACCTGCTAGTACTGTCAAGGCAGAACCTGCCAGAGGAGCTAAACAGCTCAAGATACCAACGGCATCGATAGCCAATGCAACAGCCACGAACGGGTCCCGAGTTTCGCCCCCTCGAGGTTCAGCTCAGCCAGTCGAGTCGACAAGCAACCAGGCACGCTCTGGCGGAACTTGTTCCATGTGCTCCTACAACAATTCTGGTTTATCACTTACATGTGCAATGTGTGCAAATGTATTGGATCCCTCAGGCACAGGCTCGTGGCAGTGTTCAAGCGACGCGTGCAAAACTACACAGTATCGCAATTCTGGCGATTGTGGGGTCTGCGGGTTGTGTGGTCAAAGAAGAACACAGGCTGTGTAAAATCGCAGTAAATCAAGCCCTACTTATTACGAGGTTGCGAGGAAAGATTATATGTGATGACAGAACTCGGTATTGAGCGGTACCAGACATGGCGACTCCTTTTGGCGACACCGAGATGCAAATACGTTGAATGGTTTATGTAGTAACGCCGCAGCACAGTAGCAGATTGAAGTAATCATAATGTTAGAGCAGTTCGCATACACGGACATATATTGCTTGGCATAAGAGTATCGATGTTCTTGAATCAGGCATGGTATAAGCGTCGAGTCTCTTGTGTGAAGACAGAAACTGGCCAAGTCTGTCTTCCATGAAGCTCCAACAGCAAGTGACAAACAGAAAGCTTCAGCCATCTGTCTCCATCTATCAGCCTTCAAACGCACTAAGGACCACAGTCAAATGTTGAGTATTCGACTTGTACATTTTGCTAGTCTCCATATTAGTTTCATAGACATGCAATGACAATTATATGCTTAACTACCTTATGCGTTATGAAAGACGATCACAATAAGATCACTATCACGGCTTCCCAAAAATGAGTCTATTTCCAATCTGTAGCACTTGCAGTTGCAACTCATGTCATTTTGTTAAATTTTGGTGCATCAAGTTGCTTGCATTGCAGTTCATCGAGTGAGAGCACTGGCTTGGAAAGATCTTCTCATTGCTTGTCTTGGAGCCTTGATGGCTCTACAGGATTCGCTTCCATGAGGGATCAGCGGAGTCCCTATTTACAAACGGTTAACCTCCGTGCTAAACCCAACCTGCAAACACAAATTCTACCCTCCATATATCCTCCAAGTCCATGTCGGGTATCCATGTCGGGTAGTAAGTTGCTACGTGTAGCTCGTTCCGAGAGGATCTGCAATTTGTGAGTGCTGTCACCCTTACAGCAACACCCCCAAAGTCAAAGTCATACCAGTTTGACCTTTTTCTCTTCATCATAATATGGAGGTTCTGATAGGAATATCGCGTTTCTCATGCCCCATCATTTGAGATGACCAAGGGCTGTGTCACAGGCGTGAGGAAACGGGAGGGTCTACATCAGTTAATGACAACAGCCACTTACATCGTTGTACTCGTTCATGGGTTGCCCAGTGAGTTGTAAAATGGCTCAAGAGTTACGAATGCGAATTATGGTGCTGAAATTGGTTGGAAAGGAGTGGTGTTTCTACGCCAGAGCGATGGTCGACTGCAAATCGAGCATAATTCATGTTGCCAAGGGAACAAAAGATGAGGTGTGTTACTCTTGGGGAGCGGGCCGATTGACCGGCGGCAGAGTTCAGGTCATATTAGATGCGAGTAATAGGCGAGGGAGGGCCGAAGACAAGGTGAGAAGAAGGACGAAATAAATCCACGGAGCGTGGGGAGCAAGTTAAAATAAGGTGGGAGCAGAAACAATAGCGGTGAATAACAGAGTGGGGAGTACTGAAGATGAGTAGAAAATTATGGGAAGATTAGAAGCATGGACACAAACACGATTTGAAGATGAAAGGTTGAGCTAGGTAGGTATGCTGTAAAGACAGGAGACAAAGAGGAGGGGATTTTGATTGAACGGTGAGGAAAGAGTGAGGAATGGGGAGGAGACAAGAAATGGGCGAGGGAACAGCAGATTCCAGTAAGTGAAGCACATAATCATTCTGTTATGTAGTGTTTTCTGGTCAGGATATCCATTGGATGGCTCGAATCAGATCGACATGCTCACCAAGGTCCAGACCTTCAAGAACATGGGTGGGCTTGACGCTGACGATGTTATCCCCCACCCACCATCATTAGGGACAGACCTACCACTGAGCTAGTGTGTATTACAGTGCAGCAAACCCATTGTTCGGCTGTGGGCTGGAAGCTGTGACATCGTGGATAACTTCCTAGCTTTGCATCCCCTCTTTGACGCTATCTATGCACCCACAGGTGGGCCGGGGTGGCTATGGCCGCTACCAAGTTCGCCAATCTCTTGGTGGTGTGATGGCCAAGACCCAACCTCGTCCCTCCAATTCCTG